AACGAATACTGGTCAGTCAGGAACTGATATGCTTGTGGATGTGCACTGCAAAAGAAAACGAACTTGAACGTCAGGTACACAAGTGAGACCATCACCAATAAAACCATGAATGCATCTACATCGATGCGTCGTTAAATTGCATACTGCTGTCGTATCACATATGTCCGGATCCAATATGCAGTCTTGGTCGATCCTTCTGAAAATTGTCAAATTTAGTGTTTTTGCTTTTGCTTAAACTTGCAACCCTTTACTGAATTATTACAACATACAAAAAACTTAAGCGACCTTAAGTATAGTTCGATCAGTATGGTATAAAACAGAACAACTTACGTGCAAGTTGAATATCCATCACCATAATAGCCAGCCTTACAAGCGCACAGACCACTTTCGATATCACATTCCGCATAATCATGACATGGTGAATCGTCATTTGCAGTACATCTCTGGATGAAATGTGTTTGATAACTCGGGGATAATAGTCTTCCTTTTGTAGAGTAGCTTTCGCTCGATGATGACACCACCTGCGTTAGTTTGCTACCACCTTCTACAAACTCATATCCGCTCGATGTGCTCTTTCCCGATGTGCTGGTTCGATGCTTATCAGATTCTTTAGCTTTGACACTTTCAAGCCCGCCAACCTCAGTCTTCTTAGATCCGTTGGATTTTCTCGTATTAGACTCCTCACTTTTCCATCCTCCCAATTCACCAGCATCGACCTTCTCAGACTCGCTCGTTTTTATTATTCCGGTTTCTGCGGTTTCTGTTCTTTCAAATTCACCAATATTCACCTTCTCAGATCCGCCAGATATGCTTTGAATCTGACCAGACTTTGCAGTTTTTGTCTCTTCATGATCACTCGTAACTCTGCTTCCGGTTCCCCCTATTATAGTCTTTCCGGATCCTTCAGTTTTCTCGCTTCCGTGACCTTCGGTTCTAGTTTTCTCAGATTCGATCGCTGTTTTTTTATCAGACTCTTCAGATGCTGCACCGCTATATCCTCCAGAGGTGTCTATCTCGGATTCACTGAATCTGATTTTGTCAGACTCAGTAAATTTGTCAGATCCAACTTTCAAAGTTTCCGATTCACTAATAGCAATTTTCGTAGACTCGCTAGATTGAATACCGCTTTCATATCCACTAGATTCTATATCTACAACTCCGCCACTCTCTTTTTCAGTACCGCTGGCAAAGACTTTATCAGATCCTTTTATGCCTGCAGTACTTCCATTTTTTTCACCAGGTACCTTCCCGATACTGATTCCAATTTGAGTCTCTTGACCTCCTGTACCACTTTCCACTTGACCATTTGTTTTTGCGACACCTTTCTCAGAATGTAACCTTTCGTGAATCTTTGCATTCATCATTGATTCACCACCTCCTTCCCCTAAAGATTTTGTTTTTGGCTTTTCAAACGAGATTTTCACAACATTTCGTTCACCTTCCTCCTCAACTCTATCAGTCACGTTTGTCTTTGAAACCCTTGTAGCGCTACCACCTTCAACAGATGTCTTTTTACCTTCAGCTCCAGAACTGAGGACCTTCTCGTGATGTTCAACCCCTCCTGTCTTGATGACGATCGTTCTGCCACCAGAAGACTTTTCTCCTGTCTTTTCAACTTCAACTCCAGAACTTGAGATCTCCTCATGATGTTCAACCTCTTCTGTCTCGCTGACGATTTTTTTGCCACCAGACAACTTTTCTCCTTCAACATGCACAATACCACCTTTTCTAAGAGTAGTAGATCCTTTGAATTTATCTTCAACAACTTTTGATGTTTGTTCGCCTTTGTGCGGTGTTTCAGTTGAAGGAATGACAGAAGGTACCGTAGATGACGCTTCGCTCGAGAGATCTCCTGTCGGTTTCCTTGAATCGCTTCCGGTCAATTCTGATTCAGATGCGGGTGCAGTACCCGGTGGCCCGACTGTCCCAGTGCGTGCGTTTCCTTCGTATGATACTTCCTGATCGGTTGGTGGCACAATTTTACCTTCAATCTCTTTTTTATTGATTGCAGTTACTGAAGGAACACCTGATGCTGTGATCGCAGAGGTCGTTTCAGTCGATGTGGAGCTTTCAATCTGTTCAGATGTGGTTGACGCTTGAATGCGTTCCGCTGTTGTTACTTCAGTTGCTGTGGCAGTTATGGGCTCCTTAGTTCCAGTTCCAGACGATGATGATAGGGGTGTTGATTCGGTTGTATACTTCGCTGAAGTGATACCTTCTGATACCACCGTTCCATCGTCTTCTATGGTAGAGATTGAAGAGTAGACTTCTGTCGTTGTCTCAGTTCCTTCAGTTGA